TTGGGCGCCCTAATCGTCGCGGCAGCCGCGAGCGCGAATCATATTGAAGGTTGTTGGACCTTCCGAGCCTCGATCCGGCGGTGGGTAAGGTAACAGTGTTTATTCCGTTGACTTCAAATAATTAACAAATGAAATAACAAGAACAGAATAATAAACTCTGTCCAGAGAGACTCTTTTATTGTACTCGCAGATAATAGTAAAAACTGTACAATTCGATCTTCTTGTATAATAGGTCTAACTGCTATTTTCTGAAAACATCCGTATTTTACCAGATCCAGATGTCGAGTGCAACTTTCCCTCCTCTGGAATTTTATATAGAAACATCCCATGCATCAAATAACCAATCAGGGCACACCTCGTGTGGTGGCCTATTAGGTAGGAGGTAACATTATCATTTTATTTGTTGACAATTGTTTGTGCAGACAATTATTATAGCTTATGAAAAAGATTTGCTGACGCCCCCTAGTTGATTCTCTAATCTTGTATATCAATCCGAGACGGGCCGATTGCGGCCCGCTCGGAGTTTCATGCAGAAGTTACGTATAATACAGTATTATGGAAGCGAAGGCGCATCTTTCGTCACCAGTGGATTTCAATGCGAATGCATTTGGGGAAAAGATTAGGGGTTCTGTTTATATGAAAGACAAATCAGAAGCCGGACTAAAGCCTGTAGGCCTATATACAAACCCCACCCTAAACCCCACCGCTCCTCCTGGTATTATAATCAGGGAAATAACAATTCCCTGTTATAATTATTCGTTTCTTTAATCAAAACATGAAATCGGGAATCAATAGAAACAAAGAATGTACTTGGGTCCTTGTTATATGCTTTTACTACAAAAAAAAAAAAAACAACAACAAAAAACAACAATTTTATCCTTACGAATTTACAGTTTAGACCAGATTACCTGCCTATTGCATGGGCCAGCATTAATATTGGCTGGTCGTTCAACTTAAGTAACCAGCCATTAGCTACAACACCGTCATCTAATAATCATAATGCACGTGCTGTCACCGATTACTTACTACTTCGCACGTCTATTCAGAAATGGCGTGAAGGGAGGGTGGTGAGAATGGAACAAATTTATTAGAACGTCGAGCCAATATCATAATAGGCTTATTTGAGAAAATTATTGCAATAAACCATGCTTATACATTAAAGTAGGCCTATTTTTTTTCTCAATCCACGTTTTTAACTTTCGTCAGTACATTATAGTACTTTAAGTTTTTCCATCGGATATTTCGTCGGGGAGAGAACATAATTATGTATTTTTTACAGATCGTTACTCATAAAATGAATTCGGCGCCCCCTCATGGACATCTCCCGCCCCCGCGGCGCGTCAGGAAAATCCTAGCACCAACATTGGAGCTGAGGAACTGCTAGGCTTATTATCAGAATGGATTTTTCTCTTTTTTTTTTTATCCTACTTCAAAAGTAGGCCTACAACAAATATAAAATAAGTGATACGATTCTTTAAAAAGCAGAATGGATTCGTTTCCATATTGTCGCTACAGTGTTGTACTGCAATTGGGAAGGCTCCCCGATTCGGCCGACCAATCAGCTATCAAAAAGTGTCGGCGATAGTTGATTGGAAACCCAGCTATCTAATAAGGCAGCTTCGTGCATATGGTGGGGAAGAATGGCCTTTATGGAAGATAAAAATGAGTGGGGGGAGGGGGTCACTACAAAAATATGTTATGTCACGTGAAATACTGTACATTGTGACTGCCACTTTAAATTAAGCATTTCCGAATTCGTGAAATCTCTCTGACCCGCGGTCTTTCTTCCGTCACTTTTATTTCATCATACGGCAGTCTGCCTCCACAATACTTCAAGATATCCATCCCGTTGAATGAAATCATCCGCAGCTTTTAACCCCGATGGCATGATGATATGAGTAGAATTGTAAAGTTCATTTTATTCTTTTCGAGAGAATACGGAATGGTGGCACCTTAATTTTTTCCAACGGGGGAGGGGCGATGTCCGATCAATTGGGGCATGGTACAGAAGCTTTAAATAAGCCTATGAAATATTTTGGCAGTTTTGGGGCAGGTTTAATTGATTCGCCAGAAAATCAAACGAATAGAAACGAATATGGATCGTATTACTATTTGGAAGTCAACTCATTATTCCTAAAACTTGAATATAGGATGAACTGAAACGTGTTTATTCAGTTTTATTTCGAGTAGATACATTAGGCTTAAAATATACTATAATATACAGCACATAATTACACGGAATTTCATTTCGAACCTACAGTATGTAAATCATTAAAACTACTACTAGTTCTCCCTCTAATTAAAGACCACTTTTGTGTGGTCCCGAATTAACAAATGTTTTTTATATTTATTATTCTAATTAGAGACCAAAGCTGCTGAAGACCATGGAAACCCCGGTCTCAAAAGTGGTGTTTAATTGGAGGGAGGCCTTTACAGTACTTAAACAATATTATTGATGATTTTCTTTCCTAATTTACGGTATTTAAAAGTTTAAGTAATCACAAATAATGATTTCCTATTTTGTACACTGAATTCAGTGTCTCTGGGCATATCTTAAGAATTTCCGGAAGAACCAGAATTAACTGTCATCTTGTACCAACTGCTGTGGCTGACGTGTGAACCCCTCCATAGGGTCCGTTAAATAATATCAAAAGTGGGTTAGGTTCAAAGCAGATCTTACCTAACAAAGTGCCTCAGCGCCACTGATATAAATACTTGTGACAGGAGGCCTAGTTGACAACAACCCTTTGGTCCCAGAGAGAAGTAATCCTCAAGATACCGGATTAATAGATTTTTCATAACTGAATAAAATGGTTTAAAACGTACTTTTTATAGTGACCAAATAATTTTCATGTTGGACGAGATAGGAAACAAACATCTACTTACACTGTTAAAACCGATTAGTCAATACGAACTGCAGTTACTTTGCTTGAGGTGTAAAGCCCAACGCATCTCAGCACATTTTCTGGCTTTCGTTGTTATGTAACTGTTGCCTTTAATAATGAATCGAAGGTTAGATATTTAAGAGACAGATATATATATATATAACCTAAAAACTCTGTTCAGGGTTTACTTTTTATATATTACTTCAAATTTGTATCTACCAAGATCCAGCCACTGTTTTCCACAGCATTGTTGTTTTTCAGTATTTTGCTTTTTAATCTGCAGTATATGTTTCAGTCGTTTTTATGACAGAAAGTGATTTTCTGTGCATTATTTTCAGCTTGCTGGATCTCGAATGAGATACTTGTATTTAATGAGATTTAAAGGCATATGGGAAAACAATAATGCAATGAATGATATATATGAATATATAAAGAAACATATAAATAATACAGCCATAGAAACAGTGTTCGAAGTTCCCCATTGTGACCTGAATTTTCACTGAACCACTCTAGTCCCACAATGTAAGGGATGTGTTCTTTGTTTTGGGATTTTGGAAAAAGAATTGAGTTTCTTCTGGTGTATCCATGTCACAAAGTTGCTTAGTGTTGTCACTGCAAAAAATATTTCTGCTTGCTTGAGTAGTACAGTATTTATCATTTATTAAAACATGTATGCATTCTGGATGAAACATGCACAGTGCAAGACGTTACAGCTGTTTTAAAATAGTATTAATGGTTGTAAATTTCATTTTGGCAAGTATTATATAGAGTTGTCCCCTGTGCCAAATTAAATAAATCAAATAAAATACTCATGCAAATTTCTCTTTGTTCTCAAACAGATATCATCAGCAGTTAAACATTTAGATCTATTGTATCTATAAATTGACAATTACTATTTGACAGATCCATAGGCATAAAATGGCAAAGTATGTTTTATAAATTTATTATTTTCTTGAACAATTTACATCTATTCAGCATGTGGATATATGAGATTGAGACTTCAGGGGCGGGTTCCAAAAAAGAGAGAAAAAAAAGAAAGAATAGAAATGAAGAAACAGAGAGCATACTGTAGTGTTCCAAATCAAGCTAATTTTTGATTTAAATTCCAAGGTCTTCTAAACATAACTTTCAAACACCCTCTGTACTTGCTGTGCCAATCCTCTCGTAAATCATTACATACACTTTTACAAACAATTTCAGAGAAAAATGAAAAACAATTGCAAAGTCAATTCTTGATCATAAGTTTATTGGCAAACTAAATTGTAAGTAACGGAAGATATGATGTAATGTAATCTATGATCAAACTCAGTATCATCAAGCAGTTTGTCTAAATTAAAATTTGGTTTATTGTTAATGTCTTTTTTTTCTAGCAACTAAAATGTATTTTGTTTGAAACATACATGAAACATGTCCTCTTTATAAGACAGAGGTACTGTAGTACTGTCCCTTCCTAGGCCTGCCATACTAAATTATCGTTGTGCTCCCATGACTCCCTCATTGTAAGCCTTCAACACACCTTGCATAGGTGTGGGCAGACAACTCCCACACTCGCACTCTCTTATTGGCAACAAATCCCAGTTATTTCCAATAGGTAGTTTATAATACTAAAAATGAACATTAATTAAGTTTTGATAGATGCATAATTTCTCAGTTATTATTAATAATAACGGACCAATCTTGATTGAGCATATTTTGCTAAAAGCCTCAATGCGCTTTAGAAATAAAATTTGGGAAATTGAGCAAAATATGAATTAAAAAGATGTGTTTTGAGAAGTTTTTTGATTACTTTGACACCAACATGGTAGTACCTCAGAACCTATTCAAAGATAGAAATTTATTATTGTACAGAAGCATATTACTGTATTATAGAGGATATTACATAGTCACACCTACTGCACATAAGGGATTTATTGGGTTTTTGTTCTAGCTAAAAAAAAACAAAAAAAAACCTCATTTGACATTACCTCAGCATCAATTTGTTCTTATTTTTAAAACAATTTCAGCCTAGGTTTTCTTATAAAATGTATTCTTATAAAAAAAGTGTGTACCTCAGTAGTAGCGTACCAGCATGACAGTCCATAAACCCTGAGAGTAGGCCACCTAACTTTTGAATAGTAGTACTGTACAACTGTTATTGTAGGCTTACAAAGGCAGGCTTGGTAGCACGTACCTCATAGGTCCACTGTTAGAATCATGATTATCACATCTTATTGATAATGGAAGTGGTAGTAGGCATGATAATATCATTTTCATGGTAGTATACCGTAAAACCTCAAATAGAAGCCCAATGTGTTTAATCTTGAGAAGAAGCCCTTCTCCAACTAAAGCCCCCTCTTTAGTTTGCAAAAGAAGCCTTGAAAAAAAGCCCATGGGTTTTTTTTTCCTGAGATATTCCAGGTACATGAATTTCAAAGAAAAAAATTAATTAAAAACATGCTTGGTTTATACAGTAGTTTAGGTAATTTAATATCGGTTAATACACTCAATGATTCTGACTGGTGTTACAGTGGCTCTATTTATTGTTTTATAGTACTAATTTCCAAAAATTATGGCATTCATTTTCAAAAGAAGCCCCATCTTTACTTTGGAAACGTAGCCTCGAATAGAAGCCCATTTTGTTGCACAAGGTGGAAATCATTGCCAGCCAATTTCTGGGAAGCAATTGATAAAAGAAACATGCAAACATCATGAATTTGCCGAAGATGAGTTAGCTTCTGGGAGATTGTTGCTTACTTGCGGAAGTCTGAATGACAAGGCCATTTTCCGGAGAGTCTGCAAAGACTCGCAGCCGACTAGAGAACCCTGCCATGGCAGTACAGTACTTAAATGTGATCCTTGGGTAGGAACTACCAGAAGCACTCGTCTTGACTTAAATATCTAACAATTGCTATGGCTGGTAAAGTATCAACAATTAATCAAAATTCTTTCAAAATTTCCATAATTACAGATTCAAATGAAGATTAGACTTCTGTCAATCAAGATAAATAACATTTGCTTATTAACGAATAAAGAAGCATAAAATATAATGAACAGTTGAAAACAACGTAATAAATCTGCACCAAAATATTTTGGCATCAACTTGCGGCCATCCCATGGCAAAACAACATAACTGCTATTATATTTCTGTGCAGTTACATTGTTTTGCCTTTTTAACTTTCACTTGTACTAGTTCTTTCATATATCTGTGGTTTGTTTAACATCAAAATGTTTTTGTTCTAAATCTTTTTTGATACAATGTTAATCAAATGTACAAACTCCGAATGAAAACCACTCTTATAAATAATATACATTACATAGTAATCAAATTTTTTTGCCAATGCACTTGACTACAATCTGAATTTAGCAAGGTAAATGTTATTCTTATAATTCTAAAAAAAGTTCAAAATTGCAAGTGGTATTATTTGTTTTTCAAATTGAGTAGAATACTGTTTTTTAATTGGTCAGCCGCAGACTCGATTTCTGTCATCTTGTTCACCATCTCTTGTAGTGGTTGGACCGCAGGGAACTGCAAGGCAGCGGTCTTGGTGGCGGTCACCCCCGTATTCAAGAATTCGCACAGTAAGTCGCTACAGTGGATGATCTGATCGCGTAATTCAGTACTTTGTACGTTATGATGAAGTGTATCGCCAATAAATACCAATTTATGTCCTGTTAAAATAACATGCTTGCTGTGTGCAACAAAAATCTTTGGTGGAAAATGTTCTTCGATGCATGTGAAAAACATAGATGTCGCTTTCTTGAGTTCAACTGAATGCGACTCTACTTCGCCGCGATAGTAACTTAAAATTTCTAAATCATGTTGTGAAAGCACAAGTGGTTTTGAGATCTTTTCTGCCATGATGATCTTACTGTAAGGTGCTGTTTTGGGACTCAAAGGTGGTGGGATATTTGGTAGAGGGCGCACTTTAGATAAGTCTTTACTATTCGGTGAATATTCTTTTTCAGCTGTAACCCAATTAGTGTTACTTGATGATGGAGGAGGTGGGAGCGGTCTTGATGCTGATATCGCTGACCTCTTAAATAAGAGAGAGGAGTGCGTACTGATCACTGATGCTAATCTCTTTAAGTGTTCATGAATGCCTCTGGAAGTAAGCACAAATTGATCTAATTCATCTGCAGTATTTATTGCTTGGGCCTTCACAAGTTTATTAATGTCCCATCCTTGCTCGTCAAGGGTGATTCCTAGTTTGTATAAAGTGGAATGCGAGTCTAATAATGGTTGAAATTCCTTGGTAATTTTACTCTTAATATCCGGAAGTGCTGCTGCATTTGACAATGTGCCATTACCGAAATCAATAATGTCTTTGAAAGCAACGCGTACTTGTTCAGATGCACTGCGAATCTCCTGCAGACGTTTGGATAGAGATTCCCGCGTTCTCCAAGAGCTACACACATAGCTTAAAAAGTTTGCAGTGGCACCTTCTAGACTCTGTTGCTTCTGAACAAACAAATCCATGGCGGCGTCACGGTCTAGGTTCAGATGGCCATGCTGTACACCATCAAGATCGTTCACTGATTTGGAGAGTCGGGTTGTCATGTTCAAATTTACATGCATATCTAGTTCATTGACAGAATGTCTTTGACTCGGGTGAATAAGACTACCAGGTTTGTCTTTCGTGACCTGAGGGGGTATGTCATAAACTGAATCCTGATGTCCATTTAGTTTCATCATTGCTAATTTGTGAGCAACTGGCGTATCATAGTATTCTTGAATCCCACGACTTGGGGGTGTGTCGTACAATCCTTCGGGGTAATGATTAGGAGGCGTGTCGTAAAGATCTAAATTTGTCTCCTCGGGCATTGACCGTGATGGTGGAGTATCATAAATCTCACTGGGACCTCCATTAAATGACGATTTTGATGTATTGCTTGCATTGATTAACGTGAGGCCATGAGATGGTGGAATATCGTAAGTATCATCTGGCGCAGTTCCTTGGGGCGCATTATACACATTTACCCCTGGTTGTCTGGCATGCTTTGCTGAGCCATCAGTAAAATCTTTATGTGTATTTTCATGTATGCTGTTGAGGACTACAGCATTCTTACTCGCAACAGGGATATCATATGTCATCTCAATAAAGTCTGGAGCATTCACTGCCATCGCGCTTTCCTCCTTTGCGAAACTTTTTGGCACATCATACAGTTCATTTGATCCAATGGAGTGAGATCTTGGAATATCGTACTCCTCAAACCCACTGCTTGATTCAGAAACATCCATACATTTCTTAGCAGCAGGAGGGACATCATATACATCTTGGCTGGCAATTTGAACAGCCGGTCGGTGTCTTGTTGGTAGTGTGTCATATGCCGAGACCAACGACGGAGGCGAAGAGCATCCAGCAGGTCTTGGACTTGGTGGGACATCATAATCAGATTGTATGTGCGATGGTGTCTTCGCAAAAGTTGGAGTAACAACCTAAAAGATAGAAAGTAACAAGTGTAAGTCACGTACCACATAAAAAAACATGTGATGTTATAAGTAATAATAATAATAAGTAGTAGTAAGTAGTAATATTGTTGTTTGCAACGTCAGTAATTATTCATATAATCTTTAATTAAATGAACACAATGACTGCACCCGACACGATTTTGTGGAGAACGCAAGGAAGCATGTGCAGCAGATCGTTTTAAATGTTGATCCGTTCAGATTGCCATGTGTACTGGTATATTGTATATACAGTATTGTTCCTGTATACAACATCGGTTGGATCCAAGATAGCTGCAAAGAATGATGTCAGGGACAATTGTGCATATGTGAACAATTGTAGGAAATAATTCAAGAGTGAAGTTCAAGACCAAATAGTAAAACAGTTGTTTTGGTTACCGTGTTTATTTGTATTTTAATGTATGAAATGGGTACGGTAACTGTGTTACAGACATACAGTACAATTGTGTATGTGGTGTCCATCTTTGTGCAAAAAACATGTATAGAGTACTACAGTGTTACGTCATGATACTACCCGTTGCTACCGGCGGCACAAAATGAGTTCAACCGGATGCCATTTTGTCCACTGACAAACCATTGATCCAAATTTCTAACGTAATTATTAAGATGTTGTAACTTAGTTTTTCTTTGTAAATCTTAATCGATTATTATATGTGTGTATATAATGCAAGCTTTTTGTGTTTTTAGTACATTTTGGTGGTAAATTATTAGGTTTTAAAATGCCTATTTCATAAAACCTATTCTAAACCATAAAGATTATGAAGTCATTCAGGCGTAATGAACGGTAACCAACGTGCTGGTTGACAACAAAGGGCACCACCTGGTGTTGTGACGACACTACTGTTGTACAGTACTACTTTAAATAAGGGGTCTCGTCTGAGTGAGAAACTACATTACATGGGACTGGCCCTTAAGTGACTGTCCCTTTAAGATATCTTTTTAAGTGACTAACTTTCAGTGATTATCCTTTTAAAACATAAACATGCCTCAAAACCAATGACTGCTATACTGATTCATTTCCTGTAATAATCCAAGGTTAAAGAACTATAACCCCTTGGAAGTTCCTCTTAAGCAAGAACTCATGGTCCTATTCCATGTACTGTACACTAGAAATTATGTGTTTATTTATAGAAAGGGCAGATATGTTGTCATGCTGTGACATTGGATTTATCATGTAATTGCTGATAATTCATAATGTATTATTAGTAATTTTTGGAGATTAATGACCTTGCAGAATTTACCTATAGTGAACCCTCATCATCTTCCTATAGTACAGTATATCATGTTTACTGTTTACAAGATCATTCATACTGTATTTTAAAATAAATTAATTCATCATTATTTATTGTTTGCAGATTTATCTATAATCAAGAAAAGCCTATTGATGTATCTAGAATGACATTGGTTTTGGAGTAGTAGTATTTCTGTTTGATGATTTAAGTAGAAGAAATTGATTCTGCCAAAATTCATTATTCATATTAATCTTTATGTTAAATTCTTATGGTTTAAAGAAATTTACATAATTCTCAAAAACTGGCCATAAAATAGAATATTTTATAATTTGCAAGCTTGTAAAAACAGGAGATTTATCTGTTTTTCTATATAACAACTTGATATGGGACTTGTTGAATTGGGAAACTTTTCAGTATGACCAAAAAGTTTTTGTATGACAAACTGAAAATTGACCTTGGCAGGCATTATGCAATAGGGTATATTATGGTGACATTATAACATATATTATGGTGTCATCGATTAAGACCAGTGACAGTATTTTTTATTTAAATAAAGTTTATTCCTATAATTATATGAAAACTAATTTTCGAATTTACTGTAAAGTCCTCAGTTCAGCTTTAGGCTACTAATGAAATTTCTAATTGTAATTTTTGATGTTTTGATATTTGAATATCTACCGAGACATAATTAAATATAAAGAAAAAAAAGGTCCGACTGTCTTGATTTCGCATGCATGCAATGAAATGAAAATATAGTACTAGACCACCACGAGATACTGCAGGGGGCGCCTTATTAGAAAATTGAATAGCGTCCAAAACGTGAACATCCGTTTTAAAGACGCAGCAATTGTTTCAATACGAACACCTTTTTTACTTTTTTTTATAAAGATGGCTTCTAGATCGTGGTAGGTTTTTTCGAGATAGGATTATGTTTCAAGGAAACCTCGACATTCAGAGCACTTGTCATTCTATGTATACTCGTTGCTTGAGCCAACAACTTGTTCTTAGAAAAAAACAAAAGGATAGGTATAAAAAAAAAAAGATCTTCGTGTTAGTGGTTTAATATAATAATGAAATAAAACGGAATTGGGTAAAACCTTAATAGACACCACAGACAAAGAGTTTCCTTTTTACTCTGTAAGAACAACCACACTTTATAAATAATACAAGAGAAAAACCACATTAGCTAGACATTAACCCAGGCCATTTATGATATGATTTATTTAAATTTGCCACAAAAAAAAAATTTTAAGATGAAACATGACGTCAAAATTGCAAATGCCAAGGACAGCCAGAAGTGAAGCACACCACAAAAGTTGTAAAAAATATAAGAATTGGTCACTTATAAATTTGAAATATGTATTACTGTACAAGTATATTCATACACACATGGTACCTATTCTAACACATAAAGGATTAAAAGTCAACTGATTAAATACTAAATTTAGCTTTTATAGACTGAAAGATCTTCAACTGAAGTTGGAATTTTAATATCTTGATTACCAATAATCCTCTGCAAAAATTTCAATATCTTAATGATTGCATTAGTTTACATATTATTATTATTATAGGATATATGTACATGGATTACAGAGAGCATTGCTCAATGTTCTATTCTACTATTTTTTATTTTACTTTATGAATCTTTAAATAATTTTCTTTAAAATTTATAGTATAGTACTATCCAAAAATATCCAAAAACAGAATAATTGTTTTCAGTTTAAATGCATCATATTTAATGCTTTTAGTGTTTTGATTCTTAAGAAGTTGTAACAATTCATTTTTTAAATCTCAGTTCAATTTTTTCACAATTGAAATCTATCTGAATGGAATAAAAAGTATAACAAATCATGACCAGTAAAACAATCCAACTATTGGCTCATGTATACGAGGATTGTCGCATAAGAAACAAATTGCGTTTCAATGAGAATGATTCCATAGTAATTTTTTGTAGAAAAGATTGCAGCATTGAAACAACAGATAATCAATAGTCCTTTGCAGCTAAGCACCGCCCCTTGGATATTGTTGTGAGGGTCCCCCAATTGATTGACACTCTGGCAAGAGCCAATATGCTAAATGAGTAGGAAGCTTTCACACAGGCCTTATAGCACAGGCACTCGTCTCGTTTCAGTGTCTACTGCCACCTCGTACACGGCGGTGACACACGCTTTCGCTGGGAACTGATTTTTTTAAATTTTGTTAGTACAGAAAGGGTAGTTTAACTAGATTATTACAGGTAGAAGTTCACAGGATCTGACTTATAATCTGTCAAAGCCTGCATGATGAAACCAGATATAGTACCGTAACCTATCGCCTGTTACAAGCTATTTCCTTCCTTGTATAACGTCCTTGTCGATTAATGACAAGATATTAATGACAGTAATTCGAGATTTATCTCCATCTTTTTTAATTGAGTTGAATACTTTCACATTGAACTTTAAAATATAGTTAATGAGAGAATATTGAAAAAAAAAAAAAAAAGATAATGTGATTGTATATGCATTTTCATAAACATTAATAAATTTTTCACAAAAATACATTGACCTCTGATTACTACAATTTCATTACCTACTGAGAACTATGAGGCCAAGTTGTAGTCACACCCAAGTTGTATCCATTAAAGGTTTGGTTATAGGCCTAACTGCACTAAATATGTTAAGTGGAGTAGAACAACTTATCCCAGAGTTTAAATCCTATATAAAAATGTAAACATTTTGAATAAACAACAAGGTAAGATTCAAGGGGCACAGTCATTCAGCCCACCTCTGTAAATAGGTAGGTGTCTGTAATGGGGGCGTACAGTTAATAATTTTTGATAGTCACTTTTATTGATCAAAAACATAATTCACTGTGTAAACTTGAAAGACAATTTCTAAAGTGGAGATTACATAAATTATCACAACTTATCAAGTATGTACAAAAGAAAAGTGAGTGAAAAACAGTGGTGTACAGAAAGTAGGTATGTACAGTAATACTGCAGATGACAGTTCTACTTGTCTAATGTTTAAACAACTATTTACAGTTGTTGTACAGTATACTGCATGTACCACATATAGACAACACTGTAGGTATTGTCAAACAAATAGTTAAAAAGAGTAAAAAATATAACAATTAATCCACAACACACTGATAATCATTGTATTATTATGATGAAAAATTCCCCATAACAATTACCTTGTACTACATACAATGGATTAAGTGTTTCAACTTAGGAAATCCTCTTCCTTCATTGGACAAACTAAAACTCAGGTAAACAATACTATTGTGCTCTAAAAGTTCAATATAGTTGTACTAAAGTATATTGTTGTTTTTGAAGGTATAAGTGGTAAGTACTAGTACTGTCTTAAATGTCAAATAAATATAAAGTACCAACAATCTCAGTGTTTATTGATTCAATTGAAATCAGTCTAAGTACAATAACTGGCTCATTCTTATTTTAAGCCTAGATCTATATTCTGCTGCTACTAAATTGTAGAATAAAATTAAAAGTAATAATCTAAGGGTGGGGAGGGAGGAGGCATCTCAAATAAGAATTAAAGACAATTATTGAGTATGTATGGTATCATTAATAACTTGCATTATTTTTTGTATTTTCAAATTTTAGGAGAATGCAATACAAAATGCTTAAACATAATTGAATTTGAAAGAATTAGATAAGAATTAGGTAATTAATAATAGAAGTAGGTTTACAAAGAATCACTGAAACTTTTTTTTTTATAGTTCAAAGGATTGAAATAAGGTTTAATATTAATTTGCAGAAATTTGTTATAATACAAAATAACAGCAAGATCTTATAGGATATTAACAAAAGCAATGGTTACCAGTACTAAGCAATTTAGATAGGGCATCATATAAGAAAATGGTATATTGGATTGGATTGGATTGGATTTATTCGGTGTAAACACCAATGATAGCCCACAAAAGTCTAAAAGAAGACTTATTTCCCAGTGGGGTCCTTCTGGTGGTGATTAGGCAGTACACCAGGAGACAATCCCTCTACTCTTTTCCGAAGAGTGTACGGCATTCTTTAACATGCACATGGGCCATAAATGCACACGGGACCAACGGCTTAAACGTCTCATTCGAAAGACGGTGCGCTATTGTAACTTGTATTTCAGCCCTCCAGCTGAAACACAAGGAGAGGCAGTGATGGGAATTGAACAGGGGACCTAGATCTCCACAGTTCAGCACACACACTGTCACACACAGTGGCTACCACCAGATTAGCTGACTGAGCTAAGGTGCTCTATTGAAAATAATATTGTAATATATAACCGATGATACTACAGTTGACAACCAGTTACTTTCAATCCACCAGCCATGCCTTGGTGTTAATTAGCACTGAGATGGATGAATGATTTCTTACTTATTCGAAGGATTTGATTATATTTTCAAATACCTAATTTTGGTTTGAAGGCATTCCTTTTACTTAAAGTGAAAGTATTAAGAAACATTAACCCTGCTCAAGGCTTTGGTTTATGAATCATGTACCTATAATCACCTAGTATAAATTTATGATATGTTACACACCCACCACTTTGCAAATAATAGAGGAACATTAGCCCAGTGACTCAGGATCCTCCTTGACCCAATGTCCTCACTTGACCATTGGGCACCTTATTCTTATTTCAGGCTCAAAATGTTCTTTTTTGTTCTTATTCTACACACTTTTCAAACTTATTATTGTACATCAATATATTACTGTACTGTACAGAGTTACATAGTCTGCACTCAGTTAAAAAAAAAATAAAAACATCATTTGACATTTTACCTCAATTTTTATGCAATTTTAGCCTCAGTATTCTTATAAATAATTGTGTTCTTATTATTTTAGAAAGTGTATATAAATTATAAGGCAAAGCAATCCCTCTACCCCAGAGCAACCCCTCTATCCCCTCATAAAAACCCCCTTAAAAACTGTAAGTCTGTTAGGCCTATACAAAATTAAGATATTAAAATGGACAGAAAAAAATAACATAAAAAAGGAAATCTGAATTCAGCCAAACCAATAAAAAAACAAAAAACTAAATGATATTGTAGGTGGATTTATACTATAGTGTATTGTATTATTGTTTTTATGAGAACTTTCAAAAAGTATGTTGAAAATCATTCAACCTAACCACAGTTTATAGGTATATAATATAAAGACATAATTCTATGCACAATTTCATGAATGTAGGCATTTATTTTTTTCAAAATGCATGTTTAGGCAGATTTCCAGTCCTAATTATAGTATGGTATATTGACCAATGCAATTTATACTTAACTTCTTCATTCTAACCATACAAGATAGCACAGCAAAAGTAGTCCTTTACACATCCCCTACCCCCTTCCCATAACGAAAGTACAAGTTTTCTCACCTTATGTGGACTCCCTGTGAATCGTCCCCCTGCACCATTATCATATACTCCAGGTATGATCTGCAGTCTGTTGCCAGGAGCGATACCTTGACGTCCATTCAGTGAACATAGCCACCATCCTTCAAGACCACCGGTGTTTTGTTCGATCACAATTATTCTATCACCTTTCTTGAAGGCCAATTCATCCGGTGCCTCCGATTTGTTATCGTAGAGGGCTTTGGCCAAAGCATGCTGAAAGAAAAAAAAAATTGAGTTGTGAATTTTGCTTTGTGAAGTTGTAATTTTATTAATATGGGAGTACCGTGTAGATTTTACTTAGTAGTCGATAAAAAATTTTTTCAATAAAATAGCAATGTTGGAAATCTACAAATTATTTTTAATAAACGTTGCAAAACCACTAAACAAGTAAAAAAACAAATGAAATCAGGGATTAAAAAGAACAAAAAAAAAAAAAAATTGAAATACAGAGAATTAAATATATCTCAAAAACAAAATAAAAACATTATTATATTTAAAAAAAACAACTGCAATCTACCTTGGTATTATTACACATGTCTACCACCATTATGCTGTTATTATTCCTAGTGCAAAGCTAGACACATGACTTGTACCGTTCAGAATAAGAAATGCCTGTAGATCTTAAGACACCTTCAACTTATACTGTCATATTTATTATTGGTATCCACCTACATAGAGTACTAGGCGACAGTTTGTCTACAAATGCCAAACACCCACTTCCGGTGTACAGGATATCCTCTCAGGAAAATCACTCCAGACAATGACTTCATTGGGCCGTGGAATTTTGAGAGCTATGAATATTCACGTTCACAACTTGTAAACAATACCTTATTGGGTGAATGAAACTAGCTTGTAAATATTCATTACTGGTACTTGGAAATAAGGACCTTTAAAAAGGTTATCAAAGCATAATGCCAAGGTAAAATTAATGAACTGTGAAGCATGCAATCAATAACATCATATTTTAATATTCATACGACAACAACAACATTAAGAGTTGATGGGCAAATTTTAAACACTAACAGAGTTGTACTGCTGATCAGTTAATTTACTGGGCAATGTTTTCTTTTCATGTGTGGCTAATTAACCTCTGTATAATTAGTTACAGTTTAAATAAATCTTCTGATTAACTGTAGGTCACTGAAGGATCATCTTTGCGGTCACTATTGACCAAAGGCTAAATGCATTTGAAAGTACGAACACCGAACTTTTTAGATGACATTTGAGTACTATGCATTATATAAGATCGATTCAAAATTGAATTGAAATTTTAAGCTGGCAAAACAAACGTCAAAACAAACATCAAACCAGGATACTGCACTGTACTAACAATATAACAGCTTACTAACGGATGATTTTACGTATGAAATATCTTATTATGAGAAAATATTATTTATTACCGGATGCTTATGAATCCATCCATGATGAGATAATATCAAATGTACAAGGAAAACATGTGGTGTACAGGTGCCAAAGCTTTTGAAAATTCTTTGAAAAGACCATAACCCCACCAGTCATAAATATTCTTATGTTTCCTCATTCATCCAATCAGTTTTCTTGATTGCAATAAAATTTATTGAAAATTTATATCATAATTTAGCACAAAGTTGACTTCCAAGACTTGAAAAAACTTGGTTAACTTCTTTCTTAGCCAAACAATTCAAGTTTTTTTTCTAACAACAGCAGCTTTATGAAAGTCCTACCTAAGTCATTTCACATTGGAATACAATCACCTCTAGTTTTTAAGGAGTGTAAGAGTATCCTGACTAACCAGATTAATAGTTGTTAAAAGATTACCAATTTTTATTTATCTATTTATAAATACCAATTTTCATTGTCTTTAATCTTAAAGGAAATAGCATGCCTAGATGGCAGTAAATGATACAAACACTGAACAGGTGTGGGAGATATGAAAGTAATGGACAAAATTACTCTCTTTAATACATGTAGGTACTGTAATCTTTGCTTAATTTAGTACATTTATTTTTTTATATTACTGTTTTGTGGTACTGTATGCACAAGCCTTTGTAGTAAAGAAATGCAATACTTTCAACTATATTTTACAAATTCGATGAGGATCGTAGGAAAACAAATGTTTGCGCGACTTTGATCTGGCTGAATGTGCAACACTTGGAAGGTCTGAGCATGACTATAATATTTATCTACTACTAAAGCATTCCCTCCTCCAACTTCCCCATTAAATTGTCTGAACTCAATGGCCTCTATGACGAATATGTGTCATTTTAACGCCAGTGCCTGCTCATTTCACTTGATCATTGTTTTACTGTTTAGTACTAGAACAGAATCAAGCAGATAGCTAACTAACTTTGAATGTTGCATGCCTGATAATAGTTTTCTTCGGCTGTGTAATGTAAAACGCTGCATTATCATTTGTTGCTATTACATACCGCTCTTGTTCAAGTAAATCATATTTTAATTTTAATTAAAATTAAAGTGAAAGTGGCCTAAATTGACTATAAAGAGATTAAGGATTGATATAGAAATTATAATAAGAAATTATGTATAACAGAAATTCTTGAGTGTTTGAATCTTAAATTACACTAAATACACTGCTATAACTCTATAGTGTATACAATAATCTTTGAATCTAAAATACACTAAAACGGTATTAGCAGAGTACTATAAAAACTCCTGGTAACAGCAAGGATGAATGGATACATCAAGGAGAGACTTATCATGCAATGGATCTATAAACATACATGCAGACAGACAGGAAGACTATCCAATCATTATTGCTCAATATTACAGTATCTCTGAATCTTCATTGTTAACAAATTTGCGACCATTAAATACAATGTTTTGACGGTATTGCATGTTTCTTGTCACGGCATACATTCAGTATAAATTAATTTATATTTTTACATTTCTTTAGGCACAAGCGCCAAGTATATGCCAATCAGCAAACTTAATCACTACTGCATACTACGTGGCATACCCATAAAACAACAGAGGGCTGAATGAACCAGTGTACATCGGGGTAACCCCGATTTTTTTAGAAAAATCAAAAAAAAAAAAAAAACAAAAGCAGGCTACCTTCACCGAAAAAATAGACAAGAGAAGAAGGGTCCTTGAAAATTTTATCTTAACTTCCACAAGAACTGCAAAATAGACCAACGCATGTCTAGGTGACATTCCTAATGTTATAGTGACAAAAACATCAACGTGACCTCATGCTAGCTATGACATCACAAGTTAACAATACCCTCTGATGCTCATGTTTGTATATTTTGAAAATTGCTATCATAATAATCTGAAGGTTGGTCCATTCGCGAAACAGGACATGCAGCTGGGGTTGGAGAACATCATACTGTGACTGTAATTGTACTAGACAAACTAATTTTGATCCAAAAATAAACTTATTTCATAAATTTTTATCAGGAAATGTATCATACTCAAATATGATATTAATAGATGAATTTGTGGTTTGGGTAAAAAAGGTGGTTGACCTGGTGGTACAAAACAGTTATATGTTTAATTCATTTTTTTTATCTGACTTTTGTAGAGTAGCAAACAAAATTAGAAATGTAAAATTATAATATCTACAGTAGTAGATACTCGAAGTGAAATTAAAAATGTTATGTTGTACCTGTATCAACATCACTATAAAATTGAAAAGAACAGGTTAAATAGATATAAATAAATAACTTTTAATAAAAATTTGCAAGTGCTTAAAAAAGGTAAAAAAAAAACCCAATATATTGATACAAACAACAATTTGACGTGATTATGCAAGAAACAAATAAAATGGAGAATTGTTTGTTTATAGGAAAATCAGCGAAGCAGACAAGGCAAAGTGGAACAATATTAAAGCAAATTTTTGCTAATTGATGTATGTGAGCATTACTAAGGAAATTTATTACAACTTGCCTATTATAAACATTGTGCAAAGGTATTCTTAAGTACAGGTAATACAAACAGCAATCTATTGTATATCAGCTAACAAATGGAATAATAAAATTTAAAATAACTTAAAATGACAATTCAACATGCTATGTACCAGATTTTAATTTGATTTTATTTAAGGTGGCTCTCAGTTTTGAACGATTCACCCAATGAATGCTGCACTTGAACTACAAATAGGACTTAACTTGAAGTTTAGGAGAAACATGAGGCTTACATCACATCCTGTAGGTCTAGTATTAAACCCATCCAATCAAAAGTACCAATAACAGACCTTTCTGTTAAGCCCACCACTTTGATATTAGGGAGCTTTCTACCTGTGAGACGACGCGAAGCTAGAACAAAATCGCTCATGCGTGACCTTCTTACCGAGCGTCCTATGCTCTCTGCATACGTAGATTTAGCCAAAATGCATCATAGAATCCAAGCAACGAAGAGAACTTAACGTTCTCGCATGTGCAGGTGACTTTCAATGACGTCATTATGTTCTACGTCCTACCGTCGTCGTGCAAATCGAAAGCTCCCTATTTCTGCTAAGGTCCCACAAAATGGCAGCGTAAAAACACACTCACTCACACACACACACACGTTTGTGGAACAACACGTGCATATTGGACACACACGTATTCCTGGTCTTGTTCTGATTGGTCAGTTGTTAATTGTTAACGCTTTAGAATGGTCCATTGGCAATTTATCACCTACGATTAATCTTTATCTATGATTCCATCCGGCCGACGCAATTCTATGAAGAATGCAATGCGACGACGCGTGCAACGGATCATTTTTAATGGTGATCTCTTCAGACTCCTACCGACAATCAGAAAATGGTGTCGCGTCGTATAGTGCTCACAGTGTACTGTATGATCATCGTACAATGCAGTGTGCCTGGCTTTAAAGGACAATGCTGTGTGAAGCTATCTTGATTGATATAAATATTAATACGATAATACTAATGTGGCATACGGTACATTAAAAAGCCACGAATGCCACCTAGGCCAATAATATCTGTAAACACCTGTCCAGACTATCAGATTTTATTTGTGACATGTCCAAATATGGTCACGATGACATCACATCATGGCCATATATAGGCCTACGATAGTTTTTTTTGTCAAAAAATAATTTGATAAACTGGATAGGGCTTTACACACTACCAAAAGACCAACTTTTAAGTTGGTCTTTATTGATGAAGTGTTACACATACACACTATCGGAATTAAGACTAACTAAAAAAGTGCACTACCTTGGCACAGATCAACGAGATAAGTAAAGATCAGTGACACACACAATCT